AAAACAGCAACTGAAATCAACACAGCCCCATTTCACAAAAATACCACCTTCAAGGTCTCAAAATGTTGAACATGTTATTACCCCATGAGGAGGGGTGAAAGCAAGGGAAAAATTAGAAAATGTAAATGTTTCCTGATTATTTTTTGCTACCCTCAAATGACACTTCCAAAAATGTATTTTTATATTCCACCTCTTCAAAATTTTCCGTATCCATGCACAATTAAAGATCTACTGCAAGTGTGTTCTCAGAGTGCCTTCTATAATGGTACCTAATGGGGCAGTAGCAAAGGGAGAGGAGGACCAACCTTTCAGGACATGCATTTAGAGAGCTCTCTCATACACTCCAGCTTATCTTTAAATACTGCAACAAGAAGGGATTTTTTTAATTACTATTATTAATGATCAGTGTGAGGAGTCTTAAAAATTAAACATCCAACAACATAATACTTAACACAGCAAAGAATTATCTGTTTTCGCCATACTGACTTGTTTGTGTAAGAATTGCAACTATCCAGGTTTGTTTCCACTCTTATTGTAAGCTTTCAAAGGTTTAAACAAAAAATAATATATATATATATATATACATACACACTAATTTTCTGTTCACATCTGCAAAAATAAATGTGGAAACAGAAAATAAGAACTCAAAATCACTATGCAGAAAGTCTGGCTCTTCACTCTCAAAAACATTCTAGTTTGGGCCCAGGCACAGTCCTCCACCTCTTTCTGCAGCAAAGAGCACGAATATGGCCTATAAATGACACATTTTCTCTCCTATTTTCTTACATTCAGCATGTTTCTCCCTGCTTGATATTTACAGAAGTAAAACTAAAAATCAATGCTACTAAATTACTTTTTTTAATAACTGTGGCCATTGTAGCCACAATACATGCTTCAGCCTCACAAAGACATTTCCCATCGCCTTGTGCGCACAAGATATGAACCCTCATTATGCTGAAAATTAGCAACACAATCTGATGCCTATCCAACAGCCATGGAACAGAGGTGGTTGTGTGAGGGGTTTGGGTTTTTTTTACTAAAATCAGGCTTGAGATAATTCAGCATTAAAGGTGAAGCTCAGCTGTTATTAGGTCATTGCACTCCCCATAGCACAGCTGATAAAGAGACAGCATTACTGACAAGGTACACCTTTGCTACCCTCTTCTGCTCTTCTCCCGAACAAATCCCCCAGAAGAAACATAGCGTATTTATTTTCTCGATAAAGAGCCCTCAAGGTAGGGGGGGAAACAAAAAATTAACCTTCTAATTGGAAAACTACCTCATCGTTACTACAGTTGAGGTGTCATGAGTATTTTGGGCACCTGAAGACCATGGAGCAGACATGGTGGACCAGGTCCAGGTGGAAAGCCCATGGGAGAAAGAGAGATAGGGCCAGGAGGCTACACCAGGCACACCCCCAGGTGCCCAGAGTTAGAGTTAGCGCCTGCCCTCCCCCCTCATCACACGCAAGTGACATCAGGGCCATTTGAATAATCAGATTGCAGCTACATCGCCTTGTGAGATACCAGCTGCTCTTGGATTGCAGCAAGGTAGTACCCAAAGTCTGGCACCACGAGTTCCATGGGCAAGGGTGCACACATGCTATGGGCTGCCGCTGTCCTCCTGCATTGCTGCTCTGCGAGAAGAAAACCAATCTAAGCAGCACAGATTGTCACTAGCAGTGCCCTGCCTTCTCTCACAGAGCATGACTAGCAGCAGAATTATCACAATGCCTTCCCCAACTTTTGCATAAAGTGACCTAAACCTTGAAATATTCTCATAGCCTTCCTCCACACCGAGGGGTCTGTATGCAGAAACGCTGCATTCCTTTGGCATTCCCTTGAGGTTTCAATAGTAAGTCAGGCATCTACTCCGAGCTTATTAAATACTTTGCACCTCCCCCAAAATAATTCTCCACCCTTCCATCAAGGAAACCTTGACCAGGCCCCTTCTTTCAAGCGCAGCATATCCCCTTGTCTGTTTTTAAATGCTTCCAAGGGGGAGGGGAGGGAGAAAGCCACACACACAGCTCTCTCCTTCCTTCCACAGCAGGTAGGAAGGTAATTTTGCAAACCTGGGTGTGCCCACTTCAAATCTGAAGATCCAGCAAGGGCTGGAATGCAGTGACTACTGGGCCTAAGTATTTCAGCCTGAGTAACAAGCTAGGCACACTCCACCATCTTCTGCATTCAGTTCAACTTTATGGCAACCCTAGCTGACACCACCTCTTGACCTTCCTTTCTGTGACAAGGATATGGATTACCAAACCCTTACCCTTTCCTCCCATGCACCTCAGCAGCCTCTGGAGGATGATACTCACAAACTACCTTTGTCAGCTACAACATACACACTCCACTAAAAAAAAAAAAACAACAATATATCTATATATAAATATATGGGTTTATATATATAAAAACCTATTTAAGGAGGTTGCAAGGAGGGGAGCTGGGGCTCTCCATGAAGCAGCCTCACAGCAACAGAGGTCAATACAATGTATTGAATAATTTCAGCGCGCTACACGACGACTTTTGCTCTTATGAAGTAATAAGTTGACCAAACTATTAATCGTGTGCACATGCTGAAAGACAGACTTGACACACCCACTTTTGCTTTACTAATGGCGTCACACCTCTGACTATGTCTCACACACTGAGAGCACAGGGCTCCATGGTAAGCGCTTCCTGGCCCTGCAGTGTGCAAGCACTCTGGGTGGGCCTCATGAGCAAACCCCCCCCCACCCGCATCTACACCTTCCCCTGGTGCAAAGGGATACAAAGACTTCAAATAAGTTACTTTAGAAGCGCCTTAATAACCACTTTCACCAAAATACTCAACATTTGCAAACTGTTACCAAACAACTCTAAATACACACCCAGCAAGCAGTGTTACAGAGACAGGACAAAAAAAACTTCAACTTTTTGACACCACCACCCCCCAAAATAAAATAAAACCCAAAAACATGACAACAGAAAAGTATTACACATCTATGAAAGGAATGAGAGAGTCACTTTTACATATGGAGGCTACTGAATGAATTTTAAGTGGTTTTCTATATTTGATTTTGGGAGAGGGGGAGCAGAAACAAAGAGGAAGGAAGTGCAGTTATGAGAAATGCAATTTAATTTTCTGTTAAACAGCAGTATAAATCTGAAATCTATCTAATGCATTCCAACATGATACTGCACAATGAAGCAGTGTTTTAACAAATAAGGGCTCTGGGAGAAGGAATAGGGGTATGCTAATACAATTACATTTATGATTTTTCAAATGTGTCTCTATGTAGGCAACTCCTGCCTAGGAAAGTGCTTAAGTTCAGTGCAGAATTCTTTTCAACAAGTTACAGACAGATGCATGTTTCTGATCACTGTTATCCACAGACAAACAGGAAGATATGCTACCCAGTATGAAGAATGGACTTTTACACCATTTCAGCTGACAGGACAGGAAAATACTTCTAAACACATTAAATGAAGACATATATATATATATATATATATATATATATGTAAAAGTTGGGGGGGGTCATCAGTGATTTTAAATTTACCTTTATCTGAATAAAATTAATTAGTTTTCAACATCATAAATAGAATACTACTTCTGTAAGCTGAAGATAAATAAATTTATTATCATACTTATTAGAGAGACTAATAAGAAATTGTCAATTCTTATATGCCCCATGGAGTTTTATTCTTAAATCTAAAAATATATTCCACCTACAACAGTATTTTTATATACAAAGGGTCTGAAATATAGGGTACTGTAAATCAGAGCAATATATCTTGCATACTATATAAGCGCACACACAGCACATTAATTTCCAATGCAAAGTATCAAACAAATAGCATCACATAGATTAACATGGTATAAATTGATCCAGGAAGGAGTTTCCCTCCACACTTAACTGGAGCAAAAATCCTCCACACTTTCTCAAGAGGAGCTTTCTTTTAACACTAAATAGTGATTAAAGTTCTAAATCTCAAAATATCAAGATACAGTGCCCATAAAGACCACCAATTCATCTCTTCAAATCAAGTATTTAAAAAAAAAAACCATACTTTTAAAAATAGCCCTGAAATAGTAGAAGCCCCTTCTAACAAAGTTACACAGACAGACATACTTCCCAGATTGAATAATGGAGTACAGGAACAAGCACGTGGAAAGTTTGATCTATTTTGTTTTACCCTTTAGTGCATGCCAGGTTTTCTATAATCTAAATATTTGTGAAAGCAGCAGGCTGAATTGCTATAGGCAGTATAAAAATACTACCCTGCTTTACTGCAAGTATTGCTCCTTTACATGAGGCCCAACTAAATTACTGCCTTGCAAAAATTAAACATACATTTAGAAATTAAGGGTGCATAAATCCTGCCCTTATTGGGAAAAAGTCATTCTCCTGCTGCTTCTATAGACCAGCTCAAAATACTGGTGAAAAAATCCTCTCAAATACAGATGAGACTTCTACTATGTGCCTATAAAACGCTGCAGACTCCAGCATGGCAGGACCAAAAAAATATGTATACCAGTATATTTACAAGATGCGTTTTCTTGCTGGAGCAAAGCTGATGTGCTTGCCCGTTACACAGTTCACAACACCACGTTTCATTGCCTCATAATACCCAGATCTGAACCCTCCACGCAGAACTTTAAATTTTAAAATCTTCACATTCATCTGCCTTCAGCCCATAATAACTCGCTTCTCCCACAAAAATACCCCTTCTTCCCCCACCCCCCCACCCCACCCTCTAATAAATTAAATACTAGCACTGCTGCCCAGCAAAGAGACTACATTAGAAATACATGGGGTGATTCTAGAAAACCTCTAGGACAGCACAGAGTGCATGCCTGTGGGTTTAAGAAAGCGCTCCATTTATCTACAGGGAAAAGAAACACAAACCTAAGCATTTTTCAAATTGCTTCTCACTGGGTAACGGAGGGCAAGGGGGAAGCAAGAGAAGGGGTATAAAATGAAATAAATTACGGTATAAAATGAAATAAATTACCTTTGTCTTTTAGGGACTGAATGTTCAACTTCTATGAGTTTCCCATGCAGCTCCACTTTACCTGGAGAGATAAACGGAAAGGCGAAAATAGCTAAGCGCGGCTGTGCGTCCCACGAGTCCCCATCTGCCGGCACGGGTTTGCAGGGGTGCAAGGCAGGAAGCGGGAGCGCAACACGTTAGCCCATTCATCGGCGACCGAGGCACGGGAGGAGCGGGGACCCGGCACAGCCCCGGGAAGGCGGCAGAGCCCGGTACCGAGCCGAAGCTCCCCTGAGCGGGCCCCCTTCCTCCGCCCCAGCCCCGATCTCGGAGACACGCGCGAAACGCCGTGTGCGGGAGCCGAGCTCGGCTCTACCGAGCCGCCCCGTCCCGGGGAGGGCGACCGGGTGCTCCGCCGCCCCTGATGCGGCCGCCGGGCCTCCAACTTCGGGAGATTTCGGCGCGGAAGGGAGCGGGAAGGGAGCCGAACGGAGGCACCGAGCGCAGCCCGAACCCATCTTTTCCAGGGAAGCTTTCGCGGCAGAGCTCCGCAAAGCCGCTTCACGCGGAGAAAGAAATACATTTCTATATATTTAAATTCTTTTTTTAAGCACACAAAAACAGGATGTCGGGGCCAGGAGCCGGCGCGCTGCTGGAGGCGGTGGTGGGTGCGTGAGAGCAGCGAAGAGAAACCGAAATAAATAGCAGTGCAGCGCGGGGGGGGACAGGCAGGGCTCTCCCCAGTTCCAAGTTCGGGGCAATTCGGCGGCTCGCCCCCGGCCCTTGCGGCCTGCACCAAGCAGCGGAGAACCCCAGCTCCCAGCGGGGGGAGGTGGCCCCTGCGAGGGGCTGCGGGGGGGGGGGGGGGGGTCCGCCTGCGCCCAAGGCGGAGTGTGCAGCGCTGCCCCGCGGAGCGCAGCCTGCTTCCCGTCACTACACTCCCTCGTATCCCCCCACCTCAGCGCAGCGAGGGCCCCCGGCCGGGCAGGGCTGGCAGCGGGCTTTGGAAAAACATGGGAACCGCCGAGTCGCGGGTCCGGGCTCCCGCCCCTCCCCGGCCCCGCTCCCCCGCCACGCCGGGCTGGCCCCTCCCGGGGGGCCGCCGCCGCCGCGCAAAGCCTCCTCGGCGAGGCCGGGCGGCCCTGGCCGCGGTAAGGAAACAACAGTTCGCACCTCACCTGGGGGCTGGGAAGCAGGGTGGAGGGGAACCCTCCTCCCCAGCCTTTCCCCCCATACCCTCCACCCCTAGACCGGCGGCGCGGCCCAGTCTCCGCGGCCGCGGAGGTGCGCGGGAGGCTGGAGCCGTCGGGGCTGCGGAAAAGAGAAGGGGGGAGTTGAAGGGGCTGCTCACCTGAAAGTGCCTCGATGGCCTTCATGGCCCAGCTCTCATCGGGGCAGTCCACGAAAGCGTACCCCGTCTTCACCAGGAACTGGCCCGAGAAGGGGATCTTGGAGTCCTTAAAGAGACTTTCCAGGTCGAGGGGGCTGACGTTCTCGCCGAGGTTGCCGATGTAGAGCTTGTTCATCTTCCTGGCGGCTCGGGGAGGCGCGCACCGCGGGCTGCAACCCTCGTCTTGCGAGAGGAGGTGGGGAGGAAGGGAAAAATAAAACAAAATGCGATGGAGGAAGGAGAGAGAGAGAGAGGACAGGGGAGGGGAGGGAAAAAAAAATCAGATCTGCAGCTTGTGTCCCTCCCTCTCTCTCTCAAGGGGTAAAAAAAAAAAAAAAAAAAAAAAAAAAAAAAAAAAAAAAAGAAAAAAAAGGGGCAAAAAAAAAAAGCTTTTCCAAACGGGAGCCCTAAGTGCCTGCCGTGCTACCCGGGCGCATGGAGGGCGCGGGGGAAACACCCAGCGCCGCGGCCGCGGATGGCGGGCTGAGGAGAGGAGGAGGGGAGGGGAAAGGAAAGGAGAAAAAAAACTACTTTTTTTGTCTTGCCCCCGAGCCCCTTTGGCAGCAGCAGGCGGACTATGGAAATGTCACACTACGTGCATGCAGGCGCCGCCTTCCCTGGGTGAAAAAAGGGGGGAGAGAAGGAGGGGGAGGGGAAGGAGGGAGAGAGAGAAAAAAATTACTTGAATATTCCGTCTTTTTGAATGAGCCACGTGTTCAAACTACAAATCAACTTCTCACGTGAGGAATCCCAGCTCTTCAATTAGCGAGTGGATGGGGCGCCGCACACACTCACGGAGGAGGAGGAGGGCGGGGTGAAGGACGGGGAGGAGAGGTGGGGGGAGGCTGGACAGGACAGGACAAGTTTAGAGAGGGCCGGAGGGCGGGGGAAGGGGAAACCGGAGTTGGGTGGGCTCCGGTCTGCACCGCCTCTGCCTTCCGCAGGGGAGTCCGCTCCGCGCGCCCCGCCGCCCAAAAACGGCTGGGCGGGAGTACCTCCCCCCGAGCGAGCGGGTGGGAGCCGCGGAGGGAGGGGAAAAGCACCGCAATGCCGCCCCCCCTCCGGCCCCCTCTCCCGCCCCGCTCCGCTCCGCTCCTCCCCGCCGTGCCAGGCGGTGGGGATTGTTCATCGGGGTCGTGCCTGGGCGATCCCGCTCCCCGGCACCGGGGGTCGGCGGGGGAGGGAGGGGGGAGGAAGGAGGGGGAAGGAAGGCGAAGAGGGGGTGTGGTGTGGGGGAGGGAGAGCGGGGCTCCGCTCCCGCGCACGGCCGCCGCGGCTGCGTGCTGGGGGACTGCGCGGGGCGGGGGTTTCTGTCAGCCCCGGAGGAGCCCCACATGGTAACGTGCCCGCATCGCCCCTTGAGCTGAGCCCTACGGAAAGGAGGAGAAAGGGGAGGGGGGTAAAAATAAAAAAAGACAAAGGGGTGGTGGAGAGTTAGGGGGATGATGAAGGAGGGGGGAAAGTCCTGGGGCGAGGGAGACGCGGCCCGGCCCGGGGAGGGCGGGGGGACCACGCTCCATCTGGGAAATGGTGGACGACGAAGGGGAAAACGCGAAGGCTCCGTGCCCCCGGCTGGTAACGGCACACAAAGGGATTTGGCGACCCCCCTCCTCCTAGCTCCCCCACCCCCCGGCCCAGTCTAAGGAACCATTCATAATTCTCCACATTGGTACAGATACAATGGTGGGCTTGTGGGGGAGGGGTTTGGGGGTGTGGAGCCTTTCCAGTGCAAACAAAACGTTGCCTGAAGATGAAGAAAGGATACGGAAATGAAAAGCCAGCACTGTGTTTAATATAGCGATCTAGCAGGTTTTGTTTAATAATTCAACGCACTTTAGCCGAAGGTTTCATTTATTCCGTGGTAGGCTCCTTGCGGTACGTTTTAATAGGTATATCCATGGAAAATGGTTAAATGCTTTTATTAGCGAGCAGTGAATGGATTTCCACATGTCCTGGAAATCGTCGTAAAGAGAACACTTCATAGTTTTGTGCCTAACTTGGGACAAATACAGAATTAAAGGAGGGGGAATTTAAATCTCCTCAGAAGCCGGGGAATGGGCAAGGGTCTGCCTCTTCCACCCGCCAGCCGCAGCAGCTGGGCTGGGGAGGGGGTACAGGGGCCGGGAGCGGGGGGAGTGGCCGAGGATTTCGCCTGTGGTGGTATGATGCAAGGAGACATGTCTCACCATGAGGGCTGGAGCCCCGGACCATTGTGGAATGAGCAGGGGCTGGGGGAATGTTGGAGTAAGTTGGGAATACGGCCCTTTTGTGGTGTGCAGCCGAGCGCTTGGCTTACCGGGGAGAAAAAAACACCCAAACCCCTCTCATATTTGTGATTTCAACCCAATGTTTAACCTCAGTGTCATTTTAATGAACTTTTAATTGTTAGCTTGTGATTGAGGAAATCAAGTGGTTTGTGTTCCGCTCAGCAGAATTTAATCACAACTTCCATTTTGTAGAAACATTAGCAAATAATTATCTTGAGGATAGAAAGAAATTTGTCATTTTTTCCACCTACAACGTTAACCTGCTTCTGACTTTTTGATGCTGGATGTGGCACTTTTCCTAAATGAATTTGTATTTCATAACCCCATCTTGTGTAGTCTGGCTAAAATAAATTATTGGCCATCCAAGCTAAAACCGCCCCCCTCCAAATGACTGGATTCTGAGTTAAACTTGTGAAAGGAATTAGTAACCATTCTTGTAGATTAATTGCATTCTTTAGAAATACGATTTGTACCAAAACTATAAGGCAGTCTGCATTATAGATTCATACTCTCTTCTACATGGTTGGGCTATAACGTTATCTGGTATTTCCTGTGAAAATTTTTAAGCAGGGTGAATATATTTAATTTAATATTCTAGTTTGAGAATCTGTTTTGCTGGGAGATTTTTTAATCTTTAATTTTTTTTTAAGAAATTAAGATTGCGAGTTCATGATAACAATGTGCATCAGTTGTCCAATAACATCATAAACTGCTTTGTAATCAGATGATTGGAAATATAACCCTTCCTTATTAGCAATCTCTTTTTATTATTGTTATTTCTGATACTCTGAAAGCATCTTGCTACTAAGCTGAAATATTTTTCGTAAGGCTAATAATGTATAGCTTTGTTTATCAAGTAAGGCTCAATAATGTATAGCTTTGTTTGTCAAGGAGCGTGGGTTGGTTGGTTAGTGGTTTCAAGAGTAAACCCAAACCTGGAATGCCAAAAAAGGCAAATCAACAACAAAAACTTGCTCCTCCTGCCTGCCAAACCCCCACTTCCCAGTGCAGACGGGCACGGTCCAGGTCAGCTGGGCACTCCCAGATACTAACGTTATGGGGAATATAGCTCTATGATTTGAGATACAATTTATTTTGGCAGTCACAGATCAAATGCGTGAGCACGCAGCAGAGCATTCTCACAGTGAAGGTCTTTTTTCGAGCCATCTCTCTGTCTGAAAAGGCATTATTTAAAAAAAAAAAAAATATTTCCGTTGTATTTCCGATGTTTACGTTTGTTGCCCACACAGCCAGAGGAGAAGTTAAAATACTTACATAAATATTCTACACTAGGGAGCAAAGCCAACCTTTAATTAGCGAGGGCTTTTACGACAGTCTGCCATTTGGAATTAAAGCACAACCATGTGCTTCGTCCCACCTCCGGGGCGAGACACCGGCAGCCTCCGCCGACCCCGTCCCACGGGCACCGGTGGGCAGGGCGCTCCCTCCCTGCTCCCTAGCCCATACCTCAGCCCTCCTCTCCCGCCGGGGCGGCACCACGTTGTCCCGCCGGCGGCAGCCTCAATATTTACCATTAAACGCCTTTTTAGGGGTGTTTTTTTGTGGTACCAGGGCAGACTCCAGCCCGAATCTGCGGCTGAGGCGCGGTGGGCAGCGGGGCCGGGCAGCCACCGAGGGGCCTAACGGCTGCCGGGCCCACAGCCTCCGCCCCGCCGGCCCTGCCTCCTCCTCACGCCGCCGCGGGTGCGGAGCCGCCGCTGAAGGCGGGGAGGAATCTCCCCCCTCGCCGACGGGACCGGACGGGACAAAGGTGCTGGACACGCGGCCGCCGAGCCCCCCCATCCCTCCCGTCCCGTCCCGTCCCATCCCATCCCCGCGCCTCAGCCGTGAGGGGCCGCCAGCCCCGGGGGCGCGGAGCCACCCCGCGCGCCCAGCCGCGGGCGGCCATAGTAACTCGTAGTAAGCGGCGCGGGCCGTGGCGCGGCGCCGGCTCCCATTGGCTGCGCCTTGCGCCTACCAGCGCCGCCCGTCGCCGCGGCGCGGCCGCTCATTGGCTTCCGCGCCGGCCCCTGCGGCGCGTGGCGCGAAAGCGGCGGCCGTGGCCGCGCGGCGGGGGCGGTGCGCGGTGAGGCGAGGGGCGGTGGCGGGTGGGGGGCG